CAGAAAAAGAGGGAGAAGTCGAAGGTACAACATAAAGAGAGAGCTTAATTGAAGGAGGAAGTGCCCTGAGACATCAGAAGATGAGATTCAGGATAAAATACTAGCCATGGACATAGGGAGGATTGCTCAAGCCAAGAGAAAGCGAATCACGGTGGGTTCAGATGGTCTGACTTTGCAGATACCCTGGCTAAATTGCTGATTAATGCCAAGCTTATTCTCTATGAAACCTTTACCCATTTTCCAACAGGGAAAACAAGAATTACACACACACACAAATCAATATATAAATCAATGTCACAAAATATTATATGCAAGAAATTGAAATTAGGATGGAGAAGGAAAAGAGAATACAGAACATTTGGGAACATTTTTGAGAGGAAACTGGAGTTAAGTCTTGAGAAATTTGAAGAGTTGGAGAAGACCAACAGTTGATGTGTTCCAGAGAAAGAGAGATATATATTTTGGAATCATCAAGATCTAAGTGGTAGTGAATCACAAGTATGGTGTACAGTCTAATAGTTTTGACTTTTAATCTACTTGCTTCCTGAATAAGACTGAAGGCAATCTAGAAATGTATGAATATATTTCTAGAAATATATATACATTTATTATATATACACATTATATATATATTCATTATATATATGCATTATATATTCATTATACATACATTATATATATTCATTATATATACACATTATATACATGTTCATTTTATATATATATATATAAAATGACACCACTAATTGTTTCCTTCTTTATTTTGAGGTCATGTTCTACAAATTATGACCCCCAAAATCTTCATCTGTGGTATTTTTTAAATCAATTTTACATCTCTGACTTCTTGAGGGTCATTTTAATTTCTTAACAGGAAAGTGGCATTGAGTAAACCTTGGCTGATTCATATACCAAGACCTGCTTTTGTTTTCTTGTATCTGTTTGTGGAAAGTCCTACGGTTTCAGGTTTCTAGAGCATTTATAGAAAAAAAAAGTTTCTGAACATTTTAAATATATACTTAATTTGCCTTCTCCCCTTTTTTCTTATGCTTGGAAATAAAAACAAGATTCCAGATGTGGTCCAGTCCCCCTCACCCACCCCTGTGTGGAACACAGGGAAATGAATATTATCCTTGGGTAGACTGTATATCTGACCACTCAATGCCTGAATTTGCTTTGGTTGGCGGCCAAATTACCCTTAAGCTCATTTAAAGCTTCTTGTTACCTAATCTCCTCGGTCTTTTTTTTTTTTTTTTTTTTTTTTTTTTTTTTTTTTTTAATCTGGAAGTCTTGAGAAAGAAAGCAACAGAGAAATAATTGCTCCTTAAACAAAGGTAAGATGGAATTATCAGCAAGCATCAGTGCAGCACTGCAGACTTGAAGAGCTGCTGGCAGGCATCTTACTGGCCATTCCTCCTTTACAGCCGTAAGAAACGAAAAACATCATGTACCCCACTCAGGAGAAGCGGGTGTGGAGTCTCTTGAGGTTAATCCACTGAGATTCACACATGGGCTTCAGAGGGAGCTGAGTTCTTGAATCCTTCCTATAATTTTCTGTTTGTCTACCATATATAACATTTTATTTACTACTTCCAAGTGACTGAAAGAGGAAAGGACACAAAAGAGGGGGAAAAAAAAACCCATTGTATTTTTTAATAGTTAGGTCACCCAAATTATATACTAAAATAAACTTACCAAGCAGCAGTTAACCAAAATTGGTTGATAAAAATGAATGGCAGTCTGTGACATTTCATCAGACTTGAATGATATCCCCCACATCACTCTGCCATTCTAAATTTGGTGAAATACCAAGATTCAGATATTTAAACTTAGAGAAACCACATTGACTAATTCTGTACCATACCCTTGCCCTTGAGAATAAGTTTTTTTCTTGCTGCGTGTGTTTTATTATTTTTTAGGTCATACTAACGTGTTTTTTAAGGATCATACGCCTATTCCATGTGCCCTTATAGGCGCCATACGTGAGAATGTCTGGCTGCTCTGCTCATGCATTCTGGTTGTGGGGTGCCATGTCTTGTTCTCCTTTTATATATTCTTTGTATGTCGTGTTTGTATTTCAAACTTCAATGAGAATTTCCATAACTATGTATTGAATCTCTACTATGCGCAAGTTGGTGTGTTCATTGTTTTATATATATTATCCCCTTTGATTCATACAAAAATATCAAATTGTTAGTAGTATTATTATTATTATAACCATTTAAAACATAAGAAAACTGAGCCCCAGAGTGACCTCACTGATGTTATACAACTAGGGTGTTGAGGTGCATGGATTCAACTCATGTCGTCTGGTCCCGGTGACAGGCTTTCCTACTACATACAAAACAATCATCTCTCAACTATACTTAGGAAGGGCCTTGCGCATTGCTCCAAAGGAAGTGAAAGTTTGCAGAGTTCTTACCCTTGGCATGAAGAAAGCAAATCTACAGCTGTAGACTCCTTGCCTATCAATAGGTACCACCATCATTTGCATCATTTTATTGTGACTAAAACTCACCATGACAATCACCACTACCATCACCACCAATTGTCCTACCCATTGTTTTGAAATGTTGGAATCATACCTGTCACTCACAAATTTAATTAAATCCAATCATATTCCTAATATGACCTTAAACGCAGGAATAAATATGCAAATTCCCTTTGATGGCTCCATTGCCTATAGGCTCAACATAGCCTTCACATGCAGTTTATTGGTCCAGTCAGTGTGGATTCCCACTGTAATTTTTTAAAGAAATTTAAATTTCATTGCCAATATTCAAAAACTGAAAATTTTTACATTAATATTCTAGCCTGGCTCTTTGGTCTCATATTACAGAATGGCATAATTTCCTGTTGCTAATGAGTACTACAGGCCTGCTTTAGTTGGAACACCTACTTTATACTTATCTCTCTTTCCCCCTGACACTGAGATTGTGTGTCAATTTCCATTTATTACTAACACAAAGCTGGATTCACATACATTTCGATCTGCTTGGCCCCTGTAGGCATTTAAATTTGTATCTGTTTCTGTTGCATTAAATAGCTTTAGAGAGAAATTTACTTTAAGTTTTCAGGTAAAAAGTATTCTTAGTAATGTGCCTTGCATCATCAAACTAAATATGATTTTTTTTCCTCTGTTATTTGGAAGAGAATTTTATTCTTAGAGTGCTATTTTTAGATCTCAACACTTTGACACAAAAACATCAAATTTTTGTAGACAAGATGCCAGAGTGTATAGGAAAGGCAGTCATTGGCATTGATGGGCAGACTTTAGAAACTACTATTTTCACCTTGAAAATGGAAATGGAGAGGCATACAATGCTATAGCAGTACAGAATTTCTTCAGGAGAGGATTTGGATTTGGTCTTCATTCCACTTCGGCTGTTTGGCATTTGCTTTAAAATCTCTGCCTGAAAAGATATTGGAATGTGGAGATTGAACTTTATCCCTGTGTCTATGCAGCATTCATAGATGTACTTTCAAGCTGAGGCAAAAGCCTTATTCTATATCCTTTGAATGGCCTCTAAGTACAGGTATTCGAATTGTAGATATTGTACAGTACATTTCTTTACATTTTCCATTTGATAGATCTGTAGGAACATGTGTACAGGTGAATATTTGACTTATTCATAATTAAGATGAATTAATATGTTTTTCTCCATTTTCATGAGTTGGATAATAAATCTGAAAATTTAATTTTCTACATGTGCTGTGTCATATAAGCTCTCCAATGCAGAATCATAGGTGGATGCATAAGAAGATGAATTGACTTGCCTGGGGCCACAGAGTAGTTCAGGAGCAAAGAAGAGAACTAAAATAAGTGTCACTGCCACCATTTTTGAGCATTTACCATAGCATGCTAAGTGACTACATAATCTCTTTTAAACCCATCAGTCATTGTGATGTAGATGTTATCTCCATTTTAAAATTGAGCACACTGAATATCTCAGAAATGAAATTATTTGCCCAGTCTAACATAGCTAGGACCTGAGGACTGAGATTCCAGAACCCATCTGTATGCTTCTAAAACTATGTCCTTAAAGACCTGGGGTAGATCCTGGGGATACCAAGAATGTGACGTTGTCCCTGCCTCTTCTGTGGTGTGAGGTATGACCTTAGGCTAGCTATCTAATATCTCTCAGCCTCAGCTTCCTCATTTATAAGTGGGCATAATGACACCTACGGCATAGTATTTTTTTTTTTTTTTTTGGTGGGGGGGAAATACCTATCCCCTAGTATAACTGCCTCAGAACAGTTGTACATTCAATGCTAGTTTCCTACATCCAATTTTTCCTTCTCAGCCAAATGATGTGGCCCTTACCATGAGTCCAAAAACACCACCGTCAACAAAAGGGGAAAACATTTCCAATGGCTTATCCTATTCTTTCTGAACTTTATCCAAAGATGATTAGTCAATATTTTATTTGCATGGTTAACAAAAACAAAGTCAGAGTCATTAACTACCGAGATGTTTAAGAACAAAATGAAAAGCAAGGAAGCAGTAACCGTAAAGCACCTCGAGTTAAAGGGTGGTAAAAAATAGATAAAGTTGACTAAAACCTGTCGGCAGGTGGCTGAAACAAGTCCTTGGAGTGATTTTTGAGTGGAATTTGTGATGGCTGTTTCAAGTTAGTTGCTGAGATAGCTGATCTCTTTATGGGAATGAGAGGTGAGGTTTAATGTCACATTAGCACACTTTGAGCAGGTGGTCTGCTCTTAGCCACCAAAAGCAGCAGCAATCTTTGTCAACTATCCATTTCTACAAGCACACGCGGGGAAGATGGAAAATTCACTTGTTTTTGGAAGCCAGCCATGGGTTTTGTAATTCACATTCCTTTCCTTCACACACACTTAGGCGATGAAAGGCCTTCTGTTTTCCCCCTCTCTTCCCCTACCCTGCTGCAACTACCCAAATCGCTTCTGAAAAGAGGGGTCATGGAAAAGAGTCCCTAGATGATCCACATTTTGTCCTCTTTTTTTCTTAAATTTATGTTTTGCAGGACAAATGATACTGGCTTTCTTTCCTTCAAAGACCACTTGCCTGTCACTCAGATAGTTATCACTGATACCGACAGATCAAACTCAGAAGCCGCTTGGAGAATTGGGCCCTTGCGTTGCTATGGTGACCGTGAGTACTAAATCGAAAGAAGCTTTCTCTCTGCATTACATGAGCACAAGATGTTTTTACTGCCTTACCCCTTTTCCCTGCAGTGTGCCCTAGTCTTGAAAATTACCCACATGCCCAGTGCTTTCCCCTACCCCATGGAAAACGATAAACCATGTTGAAGGATTTTCTCATTTGCAGGACGCTTCTGGAACGCCGTCTCATTTTACACAGAAGCCTCTTACCTCCACTTTCCTACCTTCCATGCGGAATTCAGTGCCGATATTTCCTTCTTTTTTAAAACCACAGCATTATCCGGAGTTTTCCTAGAAAATCTTGGCATTAAAGACTTCATTCGACTCGAAATAAGCTGTAAGTGCGCTCAATTATGAATTTAATGTAACCGATCAACAAACAAGTTTTAGTCTTGTTTTTGCCACCAATCGCTAGTGGGCATTTGTACCAGCAAATTAATCTCGCTGGACATCTGTAAAATTAGCAGTGATAATGTCTAGTTTCTTCTGATGCTTTATGATTTATTATGACCTGTCAGTATTTAATCAGTCATTCTCTCATCAAAACATGGGCATTCCGAAAATTCCCACAGACACCTATTACAGTTTCCAAAGTATCTCTTACCTGTGACTTTAATCTTCCACACTACAGGACTTTTTTCATGACGCTTTCCATGCAAAGCTGAAAAGAGGATTATTATGCATTCTATTCATATTTGGAGTCTACTTTTTGTTTTACCTTTGTTCCAAAAGTAATTTCCTGACTTATTTCCCACCCTAGGAGCCTGTGACTATCCAATCAGAATTGTCATGGTTTCTCTACCACTTCCCCATGAACAGTGGCGTACCTAATAAACTCGATGCCAGGACATGGATCACCTTTTAGTCTGCATACCCTGCATATAAACTATATTCAGTAATAATCATGACATGCAATGAAAAATGATAGGAATACAGATGGTGAAATTTCCTATATTTAAACATTTTGTATATAATCATACTAATGAAACAATATTCCAATACAAATAAAATACAATTTAAAAAAATTACACCAAGTCATATTTTTAATAAAAAGGGAGAAAGCATACGTACATATTGCTCTGTTGTGATCCTAGTAACATTAAAATTTATGTTTCTGAGTCTCTACTTCTTGAAATTTGAGAGTGACTTCATAAAATTTAAGTATTTTCTTATGTTCATGTTCAAAAGAGAGTATGCTCGTGTCCATTTATCTCATATTGAGAAAATAATATTTTCTATTAATTTGTTTGTTTCATATGAAGCAAGAGCTATACAAATAAGTAAGGTTTTAAACTTCATAATATATTTGTTAAAAATTCATAAAAATTTCATTTTATACTAAATTCTGTAAATTCTAGTACTGTCAATGTTGTTACTTCAGGATTGATTCTAGAAACTTCCAAATGTCTCTGCAAGCAAAAAAATTCCACTAAAATAATTTTGACAGAAAATTCATCATAAATTTCTATTTTATTAGGTAAAAAGTTACCATATTCCTAAGGATTTGAAATTGCTTGGGTCCTAATAGGGTGCAAATTTTGTCTCAAAGCTCTGTGGTTCCATGTATTCATGTATTGAACATTAGATTTGAGTTAAACAATGCTAGCACAGTAATTATACAGATGAAAAATGAGAATTTGAGTTCTTATTCTTAAAAATAAACAAATATATTTGAGTCTGTATTTTTAGGAGACAATGGTAAATCTAGAGTTCTCTGTATTAACCTTCCCTCAGAATATAATATTTATTAAATGGAAAGAGATAAAACATACTAATTTGAAGTTTATACATACATTGTTAAAAATTAACAGTAGCGTTATATGAACAAAATACATTTGTTTATTTTTAAGAGTAAAACTCAAGTCCAGGTGCGGTGGCTCACACCTGTAATCCTGGCACTTTGGAAGGCCTAGGCAGGAGGATTGCTTGAAGTCAGGAGTTCGAGACCAGCCTGCCCAACATGGTGAAACCCTGTCTCCACTAAAAATACAAAAATTATCCAGGTGTGGTGGCAGGTGCCTCTAATCCCAGCTGCTCAGGAGGCTGAGGCAGGAGAAATGCTTGAACCTCAGAGGCAGAGGTTGCAGTAAGCCAAGATTGCACTACTGCACCCCAGCTTGGGTGACAAGAGTAAAACTTTGTCTCAGAAAAATAAATAAATATATAAATAAATAAATAAACAAATAAAATAACAGTAGCATCAGCATCTATTGGAACAGACCAACAAACGATTTATTTGGTGAAGGAATGTTTTATCACTAACATTGCTTGGAATTACTTGTGTATGGTAGTAATTTTTAAAAAGATGTATTTTTAGTGACTTTTGCTATTGTTTTAGGTTCTCTGCACTGAGCACACTTTTTATTACTTATACACAGGGTAGGCTATAGCCAGCACCTTGCCCGTGTCATTCCTGTGACCATAAAGACTCAGGCTTGTCATTAGGTGCCCTATGTGTGTGTGTCTAAATGAATGTTTTCCTGTAGTTTGATTGAGGCCATTGACCATATCACTATAATGATGCGACTGCACGAAATACCCTTGAAAGTATAAGTAATGTCTTAGCAACAGAAATTGGAAATTTGAGAGCTCCAGAAAAGGAGAAAAAAAAAATGACTGGAGGAGGTGGCAGAGGTGTTTAAGTCTCCTGCAAATTACCAAGCAGCTAAGTGTTTCTTTTGCAGTTACCGCACAATACGTACAAGGAAAAAGATCTTCTTAATTGGTAGTTTTAATCTCCTTTTACTCCAACTATTGAGACTATTTATGGGAGGAAGCTCTTGTGGCTTTGGTGTGAAACAAGATCCCTCACACCTAACATGACCAGTCTCTAAAAATGTTGAGTTGAATGCCAACAATTTCATAATTTGGATATAATAACTTCAATGTAAATTTAATAAAAATTAGGCCCCATGGCCTTTGATTAATTAAAGCAGCAGCAAACATCATGGTATGTTATTACAAGGTAATGACCGATGATTTAGTGTTAATTACATATCAATGTCCAATTTGTTTGTACTTTGTGCTACTGTATTTTTCCCTTTGGCTTATGCAAGATTGTTTTTAGCGCAGGTTAGAATTACATTTGACAAAAATCAAAACCCACTGAGGTAACTGTTTGGTATATAATATGTCACCAGATTGGAGAACATATACCTTCCAAGACAAGATTTTATATAAAAACATTGAGAAGTTCAAGATCTTATAGTTCTCAAAATATTTGTTATTATTAATATTTAAAAGGGGAAAAGACCAAAGTGGGATGGAAACATCTTGCATTCTTTATTTACAGCGACACTCGTATTATGCATTTTAGGCAGATGGAATTTTTACTCCAAAGGGTTCATAGCAAGAAATATCCACAGACCAGGCACTTGGAAAGGAAATGGCCTTTTAACAGATGCAGTTGCTCAGAATAGATTTCCCTCCCATCCCCAAGGAGTGTTCCTCTAAAACTATCCGAGCAGCAGTTTCCAAGGTTGATATATCCAAATTGTTGGATAGGGAACAGTAGATTTCCATGAAATTTTCAATCCATTTCCTTCCAGCCTGCTGTCAAAGATATTTGAATTTTGTAGCCCATACTCTATGAAAAAGAAGACACGCCACTATGTTGGCAAGTCTTAGTGTATGTGTTTTAGTGGGCCTGTGGAAACAATAACTGTTTTGATACTTATCTCACAATGGCTGTACAGGTAGAAATTGATATTTTAGAATAGATGAGGAGATCAGAAGGAAATGGCTTTTGAGAGTCAGTCTGGCATAGTGGAAAGAAGCTAGACTAGAACCCAATGTGGATTCAAACTTTTGTTCTTCCAAGTGGGTTTGTGAGCTGCCTTGAGCAAGTTCTTCTCCCTTCCTATGCTTATTTATGCAACATGGGGTTGGTGACATCCACATGCCACCCAGAGATGCCTTTGGCTGCAAATAACAAAAAACCCAATCTGAACCGGCAGCCACAAGAATGGAAATTCACTGGTACTGGAGCATGTGACGAAGCCCAGAGGAGGTAGGACTGGCTTTATTTATGGTTGTTTGCAGTAGTTTAACAAAGTTATCAGTCGTCTCATGGTTTTCTCTCTCGGTTATGAATGTTGAATGTCTGCTTTGGTCTAAGGCTGGCACTCCCTCATGGTGGAGCTGCATGCCAGCTGGTGGAGAATCCCTGCTTTCCAGCCCTACAAGCAATCCTCCTGAGAGGTCACTCACTTGGCCCCCAAGAACCAATGTGTGTGGCCGGGAACGTATAGATTGCAGATTGACTTATACCAGGGCCGACCCCCACACCAGAGACTGGGCTAGCTTCCCCTAAAGCCCATGGGAAAGTGAGAGAGGGAAGAGTTTCCCAAAGCAAACTCAGTATTGTTAGAAAGAAGGTAGTCGCCAGGGAGACAATCAATGAGGATTCTTCTAAGGCAGTTGTCAGAATTGAAATGTGTAATTTATTTTAAAAAATGCCTTGACACATATACACCATGGAATACTATGCAGCCATCAAAAAGGATGAGTTTGCGTCCTTTGTAGGGACATGGATGCAGCTGGAAACCATCATTCTTAGCAAACTATCACAAGAACAGAAAACCAAACACCGCATGTTCTCACTCATAGGTGGGAACTGATCAATGAGATCACTTGGACTCAGGAAGGGGAACATCACACACAGGGGCCTATCGTGGGGAGGGGGGAGGGGGAAGGGATTGCATTGGGAGTTATACCTGATGTAAATGATGAGTTGATGGGTGCAGCACACCAACATGGCACAAGTATACATATGTAACAAACCTGCACGTTATGCACATGTACCCTACAACTTAAAGTAAAATAATAATAAATAAATTAAAAAAAATAATAAAAAAAATAAACAAAATAGAAAAAAAAAATGCCTTGAAAGGAAACAAAACCAGAAATTTCCTGAGCTGCTCATGGGAAAAACGATACATATATATACTGTATGTATGTGTGTGTGTATACATGTATATGTATGTGTATGTATATATATACTCTATAAATATGTGTGTACACTGTATAGATACATATATACACACAAAGAGAGCGAGAAAGATTTAACTTTATGATTTCAGAAGTATTATACTGAGAATATTACCAAATGTGATGTTAACTTGGACACACTATAGTTAGAACTTCAGAGAATAGTACCAATGAATACTATTCATAATTACACTTTTGTTGAATTGTTGAGCAATTATTCTGATTAGACACTGCACAATTCTTTACATTCCTGATTTCATTTTGTTTCCAAGCACTCCCATCGATGCCGATCCCTATGTTGTACTGTGATTACCACTGCACAGTGCACCGATAGGCAGGATGAGCCTAGAGAGGGCAAGAGGCAAGTCCTGATTACTCAGCTGGGAAGGTTAGAATCCAGGACCTACCCGGCTCTGTCTGACTCCTTACAGCATCCCCCAATTCTGCTTTGCACAGGTCCGCAGGATTGACAATGTTAGAACTCAAGAGAACGTACAATTATTTACCTCCAGATTTTGAGGCACAGGACATAGAGGAAGCTCCTGCAATTTTGTGCAATACCACAGGTGCTATGTTTCTAGAGTTAGAAACTATGGCTGCCGCCAGAACCTTAAAGAGATTATGTCCCTGAAAAGTTTTAACAGTATTTTATTTAGTTCATATTTCTCATTTTACACATGGACACCTGGAAGGACAGAGAGATTAGCTCACTATATTAAGGCCTTACAAATTATTCATTCCATAAATGGACTCTGAAATATCTCTCATGCTGATCTGGGGTGGGGATTGAGGACACAGAATGGAGTGTGGTTCTGTCTTCACAGAGCTCAGGATTGAGTGCTGGGAGGAGATGTGTGGAGTCTGTCCTAAGGATATTCTCTAATGGGCTTGGTGGTCACTCCTGGAAGAACATACAGGTGTCTTCTTAGCAGCTTCTTCCCATCTCCTAGGAGCACTCGGTAGAAACTCTGTAACAGCCCTAAACATGCCCTTTCTTTTCTTTATCAGTCTTCTCAAAAGTAAATCGCGAACTCATCTTGTTTCATTTGTCTCAGAATTCTCAGTGCCTAGCACAGGGCCTGGCTTGATAAAAATGTCCTGAAAGACTGAGGAGACTCCTTAGCTTTGCCTTGAACCATAAAGAAGTAGCTGGTGAGAGAAGGCGTTTGTCAGAAGGCTGGGGGAGGTTGAGCTTAGAGGGTAAGTTCACGATAGAGCTAATGCTCTCATGGGTCTTCTCCCTTCCTATTCAGGGCCAGTGGGCTATGTCCACCTCTTCAGCAAGGGAGAGCCAACTTGAATTTGCCTTAAGGGCCCTGTTATAAAGGCACTGGCCAAAGTGGGATGGATCATTCATTCTCTTACCTTGTTTTCAGGCATCTTTATCATCCATTCTAGCTTTGACTACCCAGGGCAACTGCACAGGTTTCCAGGTGTGGAGGTTTTATCATAGGAATAATGATTTAAAAATTGAGCCCTGGGAAGCACCACCTGGATTCACATCCAGACTCTGCGCCACCTGCACTGGGTCAGCTTCCTTAGCTACCTGTACCTCACTTCCCTCATCTGTAAAAGATTCCTGTCTCATAAAGTTGTAGCAAGGCTTAGTGAGTTGATTAATGAAAAACGAGTAGCAAGGTACTTGGCTCACAGTAAGTACTCAGTAAATATTAACTGTTTTTATTGAATTTTACTGATTCTAGGAGGAATGGCTTAAACATAGTATGTCTTTAATAGTTGCTTTAATAACGTTAAATAATAATAATTTTAAGCTGGGTGTGATGGCTCACGCCTGTAATCCCAGCACTTTGGGAGGCCGAGGCAGGCGGATCACAAGGTCAGGAGATCGAGACCATCCTGGCTAACGTGATGAAACCCTGTCTCTACTAAAAATACAAAAAATTAGCCAGGCATTGTGGTGGGCGCCTGTAGTCCCAGCTACTTGGGAGGCTGAGGCAGGAGAATGGCGTGAACCTGGGAGGTGGAGCTTGCAGTGAGCCGACATCGCGCCACTGCACTCCAGCCTGGGCAACATCTCAAAAAAAATAAATAAATAAAATAACAGTAATAATAATAATAATAATTTTAAAGACTCTGCAAGGACCCTAATACCTTGGTATAAAACTGTAAAAGTATAAAGAAAATTGCAGAATTGCATTTAGTATATGCAATGTAATGATGTTCCAATGAATAAAATGAGAACTTCCTGTATACAAGGCACAGTGCTAGGTGCTGGGTATACGATAAATGAGGTGTTCTTCTAGAGTTGCAGACTCGGGGGAGATAGTACACAGATTATTATACAGCAGGGGGCTGCAGTTTGGAGAAGAGGTAAGCACAGATGGGAAACCGATTATGGAGGTGGTGGTCAGGGGGCAAGGCTAGTCACAGCGAAGCAGCAAGCCCTCCACAAACATGTGTTGTCTCAGTGGAATTTATTATCCACAAGACTAGCCTTGCAGGAAAGCTTTTAGTAAAATCTTTAACATTCCTCACCCAAATTCTCACCAATCTTATTCTGTGTTTTATAGAAAAATGTAATTGTGGGGTCCAGTCATCTCTCAGTTATGTGTTTTTAAATTTTGAGATATGCAGGGCTGCCAAGTGGCACTGGTGATCTGAATAAGAAACAGGGAAAGACTCAAGGGGCCACCTTCACTCTTATTTAGTCTAACTGCTCGTCACTCAATCTGTTCCCTTCAATTTTGTTTCCTTTAAGGCATGGATTTGTAACCTGAAGCCAATTTGCCTAAGTTGAAAAATCACAGGTCACAGTAATAATAACAACAGCTATCACTTCTTGAACATGCAGTATGTGCCAGGCACAGTTAACTTTATCAGGATTCATGTCTAAATAATCTGATGATTTAAGTACTGTTCTTATTCCCATTTTGCAGACAAGAAAATTGAGGCATGGTGACATTGAAAACTTGCCTTAGGTCACAGTAGCTCCAGAGTCTAAGCTCTCAAATCCCATTCTTACTGCTTCCACCTTACTCTCCTTTAGGCCAGGGCTCACCAGAAAGCAAAATAATTCAAGCTCTCAGATACTCAAAATTATGTGTAATGGGGACTTTGATGCAGGTGGCTTTTGGTTAAGGTTTAAAGGCTGGGAAGAAAGTGCTCTGGGGGGGAGTCTGTCTTTTGGCATTTGTGATAATTTAAATCTGGCAGTTGATGACTTTGTCAAATAAATACCCATTTCCTATTTTAGGGGGTAGAGGAGAGGGAGCAATTGTGAAGGTGCCTAGAAAAAAAGGAATGCCTGGCATATGAAAGTTCCAGTCCTATCCTCATCCTCAATTTGTAAATTACAGTTAACCTCTCCATTTCCTTTAAATTTAGAACATTCTTATGTGATAATGGAAAACACAAGACAATATACTCAATAAAGCAAAATCGTGACGAACCCTGCCTTTGGAGTCAGATTCTACTTACCACCTAGGACACTTCCAACAAATTATTTATATTTCTGTGCACTTTAGTTTTCTCACTCATAAAGTGAGAATAATGCTACATTTCTCATAGGGTGGTTTTGTGTATTAAAATGAGATAATCCATGGTCAATGCTTAGCATAGTGCCTGGCATAGAGTTCATTGTTCTCACTGTGCTACCCCTTCCAGTTCTCTCTCTTAATGGTTATCCACCATTGCCACTATCATCACCACCACCATCATTGGCACCATCATCATCACCTTCATCACCACCTTCACCACCACCATTACCACCATCACGATTACCACCACCATCGCCACCACCACCACTACCACCACCACTATCATCACCACCACTGCCAGAACCATTACTACCATCACCATTACCACCACCAGCACTGCCAGTATCACTATTACCATCACCATCACCATTACCTCCATCACCACCATCACCACTACCACCATGACCATTACCACCACCAACAATGATGACACCATCACTACCACCACCATCACTACCATCACCATTACCACCACCAGCACTGCCACTATCACTATCTCCATCACCTCCATCACCACCACCACTATCACCACAACCATTATCCCACCACCACCACCATCACCGTCACCATTACCTCCATCACCATCACCACTACCACCATGACCATTATCACCACCACCAACAATGATGACACCATCACTACCACCACCATCACTACCATCACCATTACCACCACCAGCACTGCCACTATCACTATCTCCATCACCTCCATCACCACCACCACTATCACCACAACCATTATCCCACCACCACCACCATCCTCATCACTGCCGCCACCATCACCATCATCATCACCTCTACCACCACCACCCCCATCACCACCACCACCGCCATCATCATTAACGTTATGTCCACCACCACCATCAATACCACAACCACTGCCAGCGCTACCCACCACCATAACTGCTGCCATCACCATTGTCATTTCACCGTCATCAGTATGCTTACTTCTGACTGGGTGCCATCTGGCTTCCATTATACAAAGATTGTTATAGAGGGGCAGAAAGAATAATGGAAGGAGTCCCGTGTGACAACAGGAGACTTGGGTTTGATTGCAGGCACTGCCACCTGCAGCAGTGTCTTCTTGGACAAGGCAATACAACTTTCTGAGCTTTTTTCATTATGGAAATAGCACAAATGCTTATATAATGTGCATTAATAAAATAAGGAGGAAGCGCTGGACTTCCTAGGGCATAAGTCTCCTCCCTGTGGGAGTGGAGCTGCCTGGCTAACCTCATGTCTGCAGATATCCTGGAGGACACAGCTGAAGCCGCAACAGATCTAGAAAATCCAGGGCCTCAGCATTCATGCAGGTTTATCAGATCAGCATGAATGGTCCAGGTGCTTATCCTGTTTCCTGAATTTACACAAGTAGCAGGAATGAAAACAGCTTGGAACAAGTATACACATTTAATTTGGTAGCTGTTACTATTAATGGTGATTTCAATGCTACAGAGATTTCAAAAGAAGTCTTCTCTACATTAATATTGACTGACAATTGCTTCTCCCACTCAAGCCTGTGCCTTGAATGTGCTAACAACTCCCTCTATTCTTCTTCCCATTTTCGTCTCTGGTTTCAGCTCCTTCAGAGATCACCTTTGCCATCGATGTTGGGAATGGTCCTGTAGAGCTTGTGGTCCAGTCTCCTTCTCTTCTGAATGACAACCAATGGCATTATGTCCGGGCTGAGAGGAACCTCAAGGAGACCTCCCTTCAGGTGGACAACCTTCCAAGGAGCACCCGGGAGACGTCAGAGGAGGGCCATTTTCGACTGCAGCTGAACAGCCAGTTGTTTGTAGGTAGGGGACATCTTAAGGCTCCCTTTGTGCTAAACCCCTACAATATCACTGTGTGACCACACCCAAGAAAAATTTCTCTTTTATTTTAGATCTGGGATATGATCGAAATGTCATAAATCATTTCTAATCGTGAATTTCATTCCACACATTCTTTTTTCTCTGGCTTCATTAGCTACATCAAGTCAAGATGATGCTAACCTTTAGCAAATACTGAGGTTGTCCAGATTCTATATATTTTCTTTTGGTAATATTGTCTTCAGATGTCCAGGGACCCATCATTGTAATATAAATCTACTCTAAGGGACAGGACATGTCACCTCTTTACACCTTAGTGAGTGTAGACTCTAAGTCATGGGCCGCCCTTCCAAGTGCTACCCCACTTCTGGTAACTATTGATATCCATGCAATGAGACAGTTGAGCTATTTCAAAGGTGTTTTTGTTATCAATAACATGGTTGGGAGAGGAATGATCCCTTTCTAAATCAGGGGCCTCTTCGATACTACCTGAACTCATAGCACTGGAGATCAACCTGCCACAGGTTGTTCATCTGAACTGGCGGCTGCCACTGGTGTGGGCCTGGAAACATCCGGGCATCCTTCTTTAGTCATTCCTCACTTCTTTCATTCCACTAATAGTCACTGAGTATCTACAACTGGTCAGGTATCTTGTTACTGGGAATGAAAGATGAATTGAGCACTACCACTGCTTTTCAAGGAGTTCATAATCCTCTGGTGTGTGTGTGCGTGTTTCACAGAGAAGACAGCATGGGGTTTGGGAAGTCTCTCTTCAGTGCTTGTGCCTTAACTACATTTAAGTTGGCATTTTGTTTCCCTTGTCATAATTCTAACATTTTGCTAAACATACGGGAGTGTGTGTGTGTGTGTGTGTGTGTGTGTGTGTGTGTGAGAGAGAGAGAGAGAGAGAGATAGAGAGAGAGAGAGACAAATAAGAGAGAGAAACTAATATAAGGTCATCCTTATAGCTGTAGTTAAAAAAATTAGCATAGGTTGAGGAGGGCTTGTAAAGCTTTAAAATACAAAATCAAGCTCTGAAAGTTAAGAAATATTGTCAATACTACCAAAACCAAGAGTGTGTTTTTATATAAAACTCGCAGTTCAGATGTTTAGAACAGTGATGTAAATAAGTAACAGAATTTGTCAGTCTACCCAGATTTAACTCCGTTTCCTTTTTTGTTTATTTATTTTTTTGCCAACTCCCACACTACATAGCTTTATTGCTAGTGATGAAATGCCATCAACACTCAATGGAAGTTTCTTATTTGCTTCCTTTAAATTGAGGTTTGTGCAACTTTTAACTCTGAGGAAAGCAGTCACTAAAATAACACCAGCTAAAAGAAAATAAGTAATAGAATGTGAGGATGTAATATTCTTTCTTCTCAATAGGAACCATATTTCTTTCTTCATCTGTCATGTTCCCCAGAGATATAAATGATTAAAACAGTTTTGTGATTTCAAGTCATTTGCTCAATTAATAACCCATATATGTGATATGATTCACTATTAAAATATTTTTAAAATTTATATTTCTGTTTTAATTTTATTTAAACATCACATTTTGATGGGTGACTTCTGAGGAAGGTTGCTCATCATCAAAATCTAATATATTTTTTGGTGGAATCAAGTCAAGTGTTTCACAATTTTCATAAATTATATTCCATGCCAACGTTTAATTTATCTTCAGGCAGTATTTATCAGTCTTTCTGGCTGAAAGGTATATATAAAGATGGAAATAATTTTTTTACCCTTTCATGCAAATTTTATGTGGCTATGAAATTATCATATGGACTGGATATGTGATAAAGTTTGTGCAAGTCAAAAGGGAAAGGCGACAGCTGTATTTCATGGCAGATTTCTATCCGCAGACGTTTTGGTTACATTGATCACAAATGCAATGAGCTGTAAGAGCATGTCGATGGGTCTGGAGGAGATATCTTGCTGGAGCTGGAGCCAAGGTCAGCTGTGGCAAGAGCATCTGCTTCTGCTATGTTTCTCTCCAATAAATCCCATCTCAGATGTTACTCTGCTTTATTGAATTTGTCTTAATGTATTTGAAGAAGAAAAAAATGCTGTTGGAGGTCACTTTAATGGTCTTTCAGTTTGAATTTTCCTATTTAGAGTTCAGTGATATACCCATTTAGAAATGTCAGGTAGCCAACAAAGCTGAAGTCTCAACATTTCCATCTTGCACAATTCGATTGTTCAACAAATATATAGATAAATAAATGAGGTCTGCTTAGTTATAGTCACCAAAATGAACAATTGCATTCTCTATTATTCAGAAATTGAGAGGCCCTGGATATTTATATTTGCTAGGCAGGAAAAGATATCGTTGGCATGTGCTTCTTTACTGGAATAGATTGAGTGTAGCATTACTTAAATATTAATTTGGATATGTCTGTCTAGATATCTTTGGCCACTGAAGGATCTTTCAATCAACATGGAGCATCCTTCAGCATTGTAATCACTGGCACAGCTGCTGTGCTCATGAGTGTTTCCTGAGTACCAGAAACAGGCTGTGTTTTTAGAATAGGATGTTCCTCTCAGCACTGCCCCTGTCATTGGAATGTGACAGGTTGAAATACTGATACATGAGTCAATGCATACTGGATTTCCAGAATCAATATTTTAACTTCAGGCTGTTATATCACCCTGATGGTTAGGGACATTTGCAACCATGCTATTTCACCAGTCGCATTTCTTTAACAGAGCAGGAGACTCTTCATAACATGCAGCTTCTGAAATGTAAACTGCAAGCATGTGGCATTCTCACCTTTGGAACGGTCCATAGTACCACCCCTTCTGCTTTGTTATTCCCCACTAATGTGTCCATCAATATGAGGATGAGGCAAGAAAAATCCAAGATCCAGTGGAGAGATCCGAGTATGCATTCCTGGTCAGATGCCCAAAGCCATAGGCCCTGGGTAGAAAAATAACTAGCATGAGTGTACTATTGTCTTTATCTGCTGAATGAAAATGAAGAGACTGTAACTGATCTTCTAAGGCGTGAAGATCTGCTCTCTGCATGGATAAATTAGGAACAACGGTCACACCTACCATCATGCCCATGTGTATGTAACAACAAAGAAAATGTCTCATTCCTTCCAAACCTAACACATGATCTTTCGAAATATGCTGCAATTACAGAGTGGAAATTGTGTGAAGATGGGGGCCTGTGAGTCTCATTTTATGACTTTATTTCCTTCTACTTTTTATTTTTCCCATGGGCTTATTTTTTGTTTCTTGGCCCAACTGCTCTCTTTGTGTCAAAATAAACTGAAGCTACTCCAAACTTACAATCCCCTAGGGAAACTACTACACTGACTTGATAAATCATAACATTTGGAGAGATCCCCCAAAATTGCTGTTCTTGCTTCCAGGCTGGTAGGGAATTATTATTCCTATTTTCAGGTGAAGCGTGTCAAACTCAGTGGGGTCAAGGGTGAAGCCAGGCAGTCCTGGTGAGCACATGTTAATTTTGTGCTCTGGCACTTCCGAAACTCTTGATTTGTGGCATAATGCAACACATACAGAACTGGCCCCAGTCTCCTCTTGGAATAGTGACTTATATTTTACGCTCGTGAGTGCCTCATGAAGATAGCCGTCCTGAAGCACGCCTGTAGTGGTTTCCATTAGACAAGATGTCATATGTCTCACAGTCTAGGAAGAGATCTATATGCTCTTCACATTGAGAAATAATTGGAAAAGTAACTGTTAGCATATTTTTACATAAAGCTACTGTGCGTGGAGAATAATAATTATCATGATGTCAATGGTGAAACAAAAAGTGAAGAAACAATTGTCTTTTTAACATTATATAAATCTCTGATTACGTCTACCTATTCCCCATAAAAGTCTATTTTTTTCAAAGTCAAATAATATATTAAGTGTACTTAAATTTTTTTTTAGGAAAAATTAAGATATGACTTTTGATGTCCCCTTAACAATTACATAAGAGAAATTGTTCTGGTTGGTTTAAGAAGATGGTAAGAGACCTCTGAGCGAGGCTAGCAGGCAGGTCCTGGGACTGCCTCAGTAGCTGCATAAGAAACACTAGAAGAACACCCAGTGGCCACTCAAAAATGCTTGTGTAGTGGATAAAAAAAAAAAAAAAAAAAAAAAAGGTGAAGAACATCTGGGTTTGTCCCTAACACCAGTGCTCCACAAAATCAGGTTCTTGTAGCTTGAAAATGTTTGAAAAAACATTGGTTCTGTTTTTATATTCAGGAAAAGTGAACAATTAAATCACCCTTTCAGCAAAATTTTGTCTCTTCTTGAAGATGTTGAGAATTGGAAACATTTAACAATTCCCAACACCCATTTTAGTGTTTTCTACCCGCTACTATATATATTTTTTTGAAACAGGGTCTCTCTGTTGCCCAGGCTGGAGTGCAGTGGCACTATCTCCAGCTCTCAGCTCACTGAAACCCCTGCTTCCTGGGTTCCAGCAATTCTCTTTCCTCAGCCTCCCGGGTAGCTGGGGTTACAGGTTCACACTGCCATATCTGGCTAATTTTTGTATTTTTAACAGAAACAGGGTTTCACCTTGTTGCCCAGGCTGGTCTCCAACTGCTGGGCTCGAGCAATCTGCCCACCTCAGCTGCCCAGATTGCCCCCTACTATTTAAGACACATTTTTGAAACACTTATCTACAGCTTCTTCTGCTTTAATTGAGCTCATTTTGTCATCTTGTGGTCTCTGTTGGATTGACAATGGACAACTGAAGCAGAATGGAGAGGAGTGTGTGTGTGCATGTGTGTGTGTGTGTGTGTGCTTGTGTGTGTGTCAGGACTCATACTGTCTTTTTTAAATTTTTTTTTATTTTTACTTTAAGTTCTAGGGTACATGTGCACAACGTTCAGGTTTGTTACATGTGTATACATGTGCCACGCTGGTGTGCTGCACCCATTAACTCATCATTTACACTAGGTATATCTCCTGCAGCATGGTATCGTCTTCTCAGGCAGCCCAGAAAGAGAAGT